AAAAAAACAAAGGGGGAAATCTGCACAAACCCTTCAAAGGCCACCTGGCGATTCTGAACCGGATTGTTCTCCACCAGAGAAATTGCAAGTTTCTAAATCATTATTTCCCCGTTTTGACCTAAACATGGAGGCGGCCCCCATCGGCCAGCGAGTGCATGCCCCAGCTGACATTTGCAGACCCGTCCCCCAAAAGAAGCTGTTAGAATGCACCCCTGGATGAGGTTCTAACACTGAGACTCAGTTACCAGCAGTCTAATAGAATCACTGAGAAGCTTAATCCTCTAACCCTCTCCGATTTCCACAGAGCAAGCAGGCCCCATTGTCTCTCCCCTGGAGAGAATCAGAACCTCTGAGGTTAAGTGTTCAGGTGAGTTTTAAGGCTTCTTCTACGGGCTGAGAGTCTGAATTTGGAAACCGGCTAGGTCAGTAGCAACGCTGTCCACACACAGATTTTCTTTCCAGAACCCACCGCAAGAACAGATCTCATTTCTTTCTTATAAGAGCCTCTCTCTTGCCGGTTCACCCGATTCAATCACCTCTACCTTTGATAAATGCAATCAGACCGAAGAAATAAGGTCTCTTTCGGATTTTGCTACACCGAGAGGAGGGAATATAGCACACGAGTGGCCCTCGCGGTGTGTAGCCCGGCACCCACGCTGGTAATTCCAGGAGATTAAAGTCACCGTTTTCAAACAGCAACATGAGCCGGCCAGGTCAAACCTTCCTTTCCCAAAAAGAAATCACTTACTCATCCTCTCTTGAAGAGCTCAATGCAATGGGGTAATGATGAAATGAGCATTGATCAAGTTTACCCAGCTCTGCAATTCCTCTCGCTTCTAAGAATAAACGTGGAGACGAGGCATTCATTCCTCAGGTTCACACCTGTGTCTGCCCCCAGCCCCAGCCCTCCTGGGGGAGTGGGGGGGGGGGGTGATATAGGCTCATCCACCACGTGCTCCCAAGTTCACTGCCAGTTCCAAATGTCAAGAATGAATTTGTTTTACTTCTCTGATGTCCCCCAGCTTACCTTGTTTAAGATTAATAAAGCAATTACAATCCTCTCAATTAAAAAGCTATTTTAAAATGCACTTTTAATTCTAGTTTGTGAGCAACTCAATTATTTCTATTTGGTGGTTTTTTTTTTCTTCTTGAGTGGGTAATTGCTGTCTTAGAGTAGCACAGGGTTCTTTCTCTTTTTCTATTTGTTTATTTATTTATTTTAGCTAATCCTCACCCGAGGATATTTTTCCATTGATTTTTTTTTTTTTTAGAGAGCGAGTGGAAGGGAGGGGGAGAGAAAAACATCAATGTGAGAGAGACACATGGACTGCTTGCTTCCTGCATGAGCCCAGACCAGGGCCAGGGATCGAGCCTGCAACCCAGGTACATGCCCTTGATCGGAATCAAACCCGGGACCTTTCAATCCACAGGCTGATGCTCTATCCCAGTGGTTCTCAACCTTCCTAATGCCGCGACCCTTTAATACAGTTCCTCTTGTTGTGGTGACCCCCAACCATAAAATTATTTCCGTTGCTACTTCATAACTGTAATGTTGCTACTGTTAGGAATCGTAATGTAAATATCTGATATGCAGGATGTATTTTCATTGTTTGCGACCCACAGGTTGAGAACCGCTGCTCTATCCACTGAGCCAAACTGGCTAGCGCACGGGATTCTTTTGCTTAAAGAAGAGGAAATACTGGGCCAAATTGTTCCCTAAAACTTAGCATCTCAGGCTCAGACCATCAACTCTCTTGAATAATGATGGCGTCCAGGTTCTGGCCCTCAGTGGGCTTGGGGTGCAGTGGATGAGACAACACTAGGAGGAGGGTTATCCCTAGTGCAGGGGGGCACCAGGTGAGGGAGAAGTCAGGGACCAGGGAAATAGGAAACAGATCAGGGCGTTTGTGTTGGGTCTCAAAGAGCAGTCTGTTCACTGGACAAAAAATAAAGAGCAAAGGAAGGTTCTTAAAGGTAAAAAGAACATGACATGCAACTGTGCTGGGAGCAGGGTGGGGATCCCCACTCAGCATGTACTGAACGGATGAAGCTGAGGCCAGAGGAGTACAGTGTTGTGTGGGCCCCTCCTCACTACTTGTATCTCCATTCATGGAGCAGCCACATATTTCCATCCCTCGCATCCACCCTGCAAATTAGGCGGCATTATCCTCCCTGAATGGATGAGGAAACAGGGATTTTCAAAGCCCCACACGGCTATGAAGGAGCAGAGCTCGGCCTGGGTTCCTGATAATTTATGGATGTGCGAGTGAGCCCGCCTCCAAGGACTGATTTCTAGAGCAAACTCGTCGCTCTCTCCTCTACTCCCACGTGGACCATTCCAGGCGGCCCCCAACGCCTCTCTCCCCATATATCAATCACCTCTGGTAGCATGACTGGATGGAGGAAGAGAAGCTAGCCATGGCCATGCCCCGTCAGATTCTGGGATCAGTGGGGGTCTGTGTCTCCTTGTCACCCCGGTGTTCGTCCTCTCGGGGTATTTGGTCTTAGCAGCCCCAGATGGGGGCCCCTTTTTCCCAAGTCACAAAAGACAAACTGGAAAGAGCCACCCCAAAGTCACCTGAGGCCAATTCAGGCTCGTGAAAGCCCTCCCACGACTCAAAGAATTGAATGGACTCTGGGTTCAGGGACAAAGCCTTTGGGTTTTGATCGAGTTCTTTTTTTCCCCCTCTTTTCTTTTTCTAATCATTTTCTCAATTTCTCTCCTTGCCAGTTCAGGCTTTTGCTGTCAGACTTGTTTTGGGCGCAGGCTTTTTCTCCCAGCTCAGACGATTCTACCTTGCTATTGTTGTGTTCCTTTTCCACTGAAAGCAATCAAAAATGAAAATCCACACATTCCAGAACTGGGTCTATTAAATATGCACCTTTTTGTAGATCAAATAAAAGCATTCTCTTAAGGCTGACGTTCGGCGCCGAGTATCACCCCGAGGTCAGACACTGGGGAGACCTGTCCCTCACAGGCCATCCGCATCTGGGTCACTGAGAGCGATGGTCAGAGTCCAGAGTAGGCCGACTTCCTTAAGGAATGCCTTCATCTAACGCAGCGGTTCTCAACCTTCCTCATGCCGCGACCCTTTCATACAGTTCCTCGTGTTGTGGAGACCCCCAATTTCATTGTTACAAACTGAACATAAAGCATAGTGATTCATCACAAAAACAATATGTAATTACATATGTGTTTTCCGATGGTCTTAGACGACCCCTGTGAAAGGGTCGTTCGACCCCCAAAGGGGTCGCGACCCACAGGTTGAGAACCGCTGGTCTAAAGCATCGCTGGTCGCCCTACGCGGTGTAGCTCAGTGGATAGAGCCCTGGCCCGTGGACTGAAGGGTCGCAGGTTCAATTCCAGTCAAGGGCACATGCCTGGGTTGCGGGCTCGATCCCCAGTAGGGGGCGTGCAGGAAGCAGCCGATCAATGAGTCTCCTCCCCCGGCCATCAGCCCCAATGGCTGGCCAGGCCAAGGGACCCCACCTGTGCACGAATCCGTGCACCGGACCTCTAGTATTTCTACAAAAATAAGAGCACCAGAAAAGTTGCCTCTGCCTAAAACAATGAAACCAAAAACCAAAACAGGGCCTCCATTGCAAACCAGTGTCTTCTCGCTGACTGACAGGTGCGTTACGAGAAGTTCCCTTACGGCCTGAGCATCTCAGATCTCTGAGCGGGAGGCCTGCATTATCGATGCCTCTGTGTTCAAGTCCAGCTCATTCCCCTCCCCCACCTTTGCTAACTTTTCATGCATATTTTTTTTCCCATCTTCACCTTGGAATTCTCCAAAACAGCAGTAGTTTAAAGCACTAAAATGGTTTCTGTAGTATCGATCAATTCCTGGTTTTCCACCGATTATACTTGGTTTATTAACAGTATCTCGGCTCTGCAACATGGTTCTCTGTCCTTCTCACATGAACAACACCTCAGCGAGCGCTCATGGAAAGTCTGGAATGGACAGCAGTGATGGACAGCAGTGATGGGCAGCGAGGAGCCATGGGGGCAGAGAGACCCTTAGGCTCTGAAATCCGGACACGACCTCCATCTCGCTCCCTCCACCACAACCTGAAGGCAGCCCCTGCCCCAGAACTGACTGTGGAGTCCACTTATGGCATCCGCGCCACCACCTTTATCTCAGCTAACGTCCACTTCCTGCAAATCAGGCCTGGAGACGCCAAGCAACCCTCCAGAAACACATCTGAAGAACACCTCTGCATCCCCTCCCCACCCCGACGCGCACAGACACCCCACCTCCCAAGGAAGGAGAAAGTTAACTCTCCAGCAAACCTGGCCGCGTTCTCGAACCCTTCACATTCACAAAGGGGGTCTCGCAACTGAAACCTGACCTGTGTCTGCTGAGGGCACAGACAAGGGTCAGAGGTCTTCAAGCATCCATTATCCAGAAATACTCTCTCTCTCTCTCTCTCTCTCTCCCAAAATGAAAATAATAGGTCAGCCTTACTGTCTCTCCTTTAGAGCAGCGGTTCTCAACCTGTGGGTCGCAACCCCTTTGGGGGTCCAACGACCCTTTCACAGGGGTCGCCTAAGACCATCGGAAAACACATATATAATTACATATTGTTTTTGTGATTAATCACTATGCTTTAATTATGTTCAATTTGTAACAATGAAATTGGGGGTCACCACAACATGAGGGACTGTATTAAAGGGTCGCGGCATTCGGAAGGTTGAGAACCGCTGCTTTAGAGAAACCAGAAGTCAGGCTGCTGAGCCGCTGGTGGGAAGCTCCAGACAGAATGTGGGTGTGTGAAGCTGTGCGGGGCTTCACAAGAATTTGGGGGGAACTCCGGGGGTTTTGAAAAAGGGTGTTCTGAGGCTGGGACACAGGGGCTCCTCAGGTTCTGGGGTACCCAGAAGTCGGGATGTAGGGGGTGGGGGCAGTGGCGGGGCTGTCCTGCCAGCCGGGCTCCCCCTCCCCTGCCGTCCTGGGCCCTCCGGCCACAGCCACAGCCAGAGGGAGTCAGTCACTCACCACCCGTGAGCTGTGCAGGGCCGAAGCACAGGGCCAGCTGGAACCACAGGATCACGGCCAAGAGTCTCTGGGGGGACTGAGGCTGCTGCTGCTGCTGCTGCTGCTGCTCTAGAAATCCGTCTCCATGGCTCGGGTTCATTCCATAATACATCTTTCATCCACACAGGGCATGCGGCTGGCAAGAGTCTGCAACCAGGAACGCACAGGACTATACCCCCGGCTGCCTGGGCTCGGCGGGGGCCACACTTCCGCTTCTCCCGTGGAACCGGAGGGAATGGGGGGGGGGGGGGTCGGCTTCCCCGGCTCCATCCCCGGGCCTCCCCCGCCCCCCTTGCCCAGAGCGCAATCACCGCCCCCCCTTTCCCGCTCCCCCCAACGCGGGTACACAGAGTACCGCCGCCGCGGGATGCTGCGCGTGCGGAGGGTGGAGGAGGGGAGGGCAGCGGGGGGAGCGCACATTGGCCCGGCGCCGTCCCCGGGATCCCGCGGCCGTGACCATGACGGGAAAGTCTCCAGCCTCCCGGGGTGTCGGGGCTGGAAACCCACTTTTCCCCGGGCCTAGGCAGGTCCCTCTCGGGCACCTCACCGCGCGGCACCGGGTCCCCCACGATACTTGTCTGGTTCTCCCCAGGATGGGGATGGGTCCGACTGCCCGGTGCCCACAGAGACTGCTCTGCGCGGTCAACCATTCCGTCCCCGGGCTCGGGGGTGCGGGCAGGGCCGGGCACCCACTCCCCCTCCCCGGGGCGCAGAGCCCCCTCCGGGCTCCGGGTCTTACCTGTGGGTCTCATGCAGGCGGCTTCCTTCCCTCCTCCGCCTCCTCCCCGCGCCGGGCGCACCCGCATCTGTGCGCGACCTCTGCTGCCGCCGCTGCGCGAGCCGGAGAGACGGAAGCCTCGGCGGCCGCGGCGCCGGGCTCGGGCTCCCCCCGCCCGCCCGCGCTCGCTCTCCCCGGGCTCCCGGAGCCGCTGGGCGCGGGTGGTGGGGGAGGACCGACGCCGGGCCGCGCGCCCCCGAGGAGGCGCCCGCGCGCCCGCCACCTGCGCTCGCGAGCGCGGCGTCGGCGTCGGTCGACGCCGAGTGAGGTAGGTAGCTAGGGGCCGTGCTGAGTTTAGGTTGCTGCTCCGACTGGAAACGGCGCCGGCCGCGGCCACAACTGGAAAGAGCCTGCCG